CAGATATTGAATCATTTCTTTCTTTTTTAAGACATCAGCCCTGATCCTGATGAGCAGGATCCACTTAGGGCCCCAACCACACATACTATGCTCCCTGATAGTCAATGAGAGGAAGTGGGGAGTCAGATCCTGCCCTATCTAGATTTCCCAGTGTTAGACTGGCAGATCCTGCTTATCCCCATTTGTCTGAGTCTGTCCATGTGTGTGTGTGTGTGTAGGATGCATAAGGTTCTTGCTATGTAAAGTTGCAAGTATGTTTTAACATTTATTTTGAATCAAGTGCTCAAACCTCTAAAAAATTTTATTTTTACTGTACAAAATAGAATCAAATTTAAAAAACGGTATTTACTCCAACATTTCATTATTTCTGACATTGATTTTTTAGAACATGACAGAGGTCCCATTTTTTAAAAAAGTTACTTCAGCCTAATCTAAATGATTTCAAATTAACCCATATCTGAAATGTGTGTTATTTCATCTTTCATATCCTTAATCTCAGCTTGGACTATTGTTAAATTAGATATTTTTTCATTTAAGAAAGCAATTTCTTTCTCTCTTTGGAGTAAGTCAGCAATCAATCTTCCAATGCGTTGTGTTAAATCATTTACTAATGGTTCCAAACGGGAAAAATCCTTCTTTAAATTATACACCTTTGGTTTTAGATCATTTGCAAAAGTCACAGTCTTCAGAACTTTAGCTCTGTCACTTTCTAAGCTTAAAAACCTGTTTGTGTGCTTGTTGAAATCATTCTTTAGCTCCGAAAGTATCTTCTTCACAGAGTTAATTCTTTCTGAATTTTCAGATGCTGTCTTTCGGAGCATTGCTGTTCGGTCAATGCTACTTGAAAGAAGATCACCTATGTTTTTTACTGTATTTTTTTCTACTTTTTCTATTTTTTTTTCTAGGTCTTGCACAGAATCTGTCAATGATGTGACATCAGTTACTAAACCTGAAATACGTCGTATATCTGTTTTTATAGTTGAAATCTTGAGACCAACATCTTTTGCCATGGAAATTGTACTTAAGTCTACTTTTGTAACAGCTTGAGAAAGAGTTGTCAAATTGTCGTTCAATATATCCTGTTTTTCAGTTATCCTGTTAGACCAAGTTTTCACCTCATAAATTTCCTCCTGTAGATGCTTTAGATGAGCAATTATTTGAAAAGACTGCAGTTGTTCCACGATAGCTTCAGACTTCTGACACTATAAGAAAATACAATATCACGATAATTAAATTGATTAAAAGCTTAACATTTAAAATTCAAGTTAAATTTTATGTGTTACTTTTAACCATAATTTCACTGCTCTTCTAGAAAGCATTGGTAAAAGATGTATTGTGTATTACTAATAAGAAGAAAAACATTAAGGAAATATAAATCTTATTGGAAATGACATTTTTCCTTTTTTGTACCATCAGGTATCTCTGTACAGTGACAAAATGAGCTAAATAATACCAATTTTTCAATAGCTGCAGAAGGGAAGAGGAAACCTCCACTTAAGCCTTGGTAGATTTAGGGGGTCAAACAAGGCAACATAACTTCTGAAACACTAGTTATCTGTAGTTATAACAAGTGCTAGAATGAAGGGCCCAACGCCCAAGACTGTGCATACACTTTATTCTATTCTATGAATAATTTTCTGGGGTATCTATCCATTAGACCTTGAATAATTGAACTACTTCTTAAGTTCCTAGCATATATTAGGTATGTCAGGCATGAGGGACATAAAGATAGGTACAGCTTGGGTTGTGGCCTCAACTCAGTTTATTAGTTTAGTAGGGCAGAAAGATATGTAAAACAACAACAACAACAAATAATCTCCAAAGTTCTAAAATTCCATGATTCTAAACACAAGTGGTTCTCAATGCTTGTATGTTTGTATGCCATCCTCCTTCCCCACCACCAACTGTATACTGATATCTCTAAATTGTTTTGGTTTAACTTGGACACATTAGCTGATGAACATTTTGAGCCACACAAGCGCCTGGCAACATTTCAAATTGTGGTGGTGGTGGTTGAGTGTGTGCATGTATGTGTGTTTATACAGAGGTATTGGGGAAGTTGAATTATTGTATTTTGAATATTTGAAATTTTATCGTATTATGCTATCAGTTAATAAAATTAAGAGGAGGGAATTAAAGTGCTAGTTTTGGTGATAAGATGGTCTTATAAAGGATACAAAATCGAAAATTAAAGCAAATGCGCTCAAGGTCCATGGATGTTGTTGCAAATGGCAAGATATCCTCCTTTCCACAGCTGAATATATAAATATCAAAGTAACCTGTTGTACACCTTAGATTTACACAATGGTATGTCATATATTTATTCAATTAAAAAAATATATAGGAATTGCCAGGTGAGACTATTAAGCTTCAGTCGGAAGGTTAACTTAAGCCTGTGGACTGTGTTCGACTATAAAAAAAAGAACAAATATAAAATATATTATCAAAGCATGACTCCAAAGACGGATATGTCATGATTACATCAAAAAAGGGAATCCCAGTTGTAATGCGTATGTCAATTGTTTGGCTTTTGCACATTTAACCAGCAGCTTATTTTCTAGGCAAGCATTATTTTAAAGTAGAGGTTGTCTATAGCTTTCTGCTAATAATCAAAATCAGTTTGACTCAACAACATTTACTGTGCTAGTATGATCAAGAACAGTCTGCTTTCAGAGTTTGTAGTTTGAGAAAGAAAATGTCAATAAATGGATTTTTTTTAATTCAGAAAAAAACCATAAAATGCAAATATGCAGGCTGAAAAACATTTTTTATAAAATAATATATGCTGTTTAAAGATTTTTTCTAAAATAACTATTTCTTCAATGTTATGAATCACCTTTCTTAAATTAAATTTGTCTGATTTACTCAGCTAACATTTTGAGATTATTTTGGTAACATTAACTTAGTTTTATTTAAAGCATATAAAAATTTAATATGCCTGGACTGTTATTTTTATGTATAGTTGCAAAGGAATGACAAACTGAAATGGGGCAGAACAGTTAATTCAAAGCAGCAACACTCACTATATGTTTGGCTTAAAAATATATTTTCGGACTTTTCTCAATAGGTTTATGCTACATTAAGTATTGGTGGGAGACGTGGCCCCAAATATTTCTTGGTAGAGAATTAGATTGTGAAAACGTTATTGTGGGTATGGCAATCAGAAACAGCCACAAATAGAAAGGAAATTGAGTAGTGATTGCAAAACCACGTTTTATTTTTAAGGGGAAAGTTTTGTAATAAAGTATAGTTGCTGGAACAGAAGATTCCCAAGGGTGAAAGGAGATGACTTATTTTAATCTATTTCATTACTAGGTTATCATTTATTAATGTATCTACTCCTGTAACTGTAGCTTAATAGCATCACACAATAAAGAAACTTCAGAAAGTGCTAGCTTTATTTTTAAGAAACTGCTAGTAAGCCTCTTGGTTTCACTTGGTAGCTTATAAAAGCAATTTATCATGAACTTCTACTCATCTTTACTAAAATATAAACTCAATACAGTGTAGAAATAGTCTAGAAAGTTTTTTTACTGTTATTTTAAAAAATTACTTATGGCTTGTTTAAGCTACTTGCCTAGGATGGACAGAAGAGTTGCTGTGTCTCAGTAGCTCAAAAGATTCAACCAGTAACTTGAATATTTATCAAGTTCCTATACATATGCAAAGTACTAAGCTAGACACGTCAGTCCTGTAATGGTAAATATTGTCTGGATCTACGAGCACGGAAACTGGTTCAAGGGAATGATTTCTGGGTCCAACTGACTTTCCAAAAACTTTGCTAAAGGGTCTTTGGACTGAACTGAGTGACCCGGAAATTGTATTGATCCCTAAAATTTAAAACTACTTAAAGCCAGAAGGGATCGCAGATTATTTGGTATAATTTCCTCATTTTACAAATCAAGTGCCCAAGAACACATGGTTAGTGGCAAAGCCTATCTTAGAAGACTGTCATTTAGAGTTCTTTTTCCTCCATTGCTTTCCCACTCTTCCCAAAACATTTATTGATTCCTTCTTATGCTCAAGGCCCAATTTTAGGTCACAGTTACAACTTCTGAGTGACTTATGGTCTAGTTTAATGGTGACATGGTGCTTGCCATTTAACTACCACCAAATTTGGCTGAATTACAGCTTTTGAAATCTCAAGGTAGTTCTACTGACAGATTTCTTGTGATTTTCCCCCTTCCCCTGGTTGAACAGTAGCAGGTTGTGTTGAACAGTGGGAGGTCAGTGGCTTCTGGAATTGAACAGACCCAAGTATGATTGCAAGATTCCTAATTTTGTTGAATCTCAATTTCTCCACTTGTAAAATGGGTCTTGTAGCTAGCAGAGCTGTGGTGAGAATTAGTGATAACACATGCAAAGTGCTTTGCACAATGACTAGGATATGGCTGGTAGTCAATAAACATATGGAGCCATTAGGATGATGGTGATGAATGGAGACCTCCTAGCAATGTGACATATATAATAGGCTCCAAAATATTAGTTCTCTCCTCCCCTGCAGTGTAAAGTTAGGATGGAGAATTTTGATTTGTATTAAATTAAGCGTTCATAGCTGAACAGATGCTGGATCAATTTGCATAGTTTATGCTAACTGTGCAAATATGAGGTAAGTCTATAAAGAAATAAGATTTTTTTGTGTGTTTGGTGAATTTACAGCATCATTATTTTATAATGACATATTAAGCTTTGATCAAGATTATAAATTCATACAAAGGTCTACAATAAGGTTGAGATTAAAAATAATGGCATTAACTTTGTACCTTATGAGTTTAGTTTTCTATGAAACCATACAGGCTGATAAATCAACTTTTCATTATAAAATATAAAGGTACACTTAGTCAACAGTTTCTAATTACTTGGCAAAATTTAAGGAAATATTGACATAAATATACTTTGAAACTTTACATCTAAAGGTTTGAAAAAACTAGGTCTTTCTTTTGTAACAGTGATTTATATATGTGCTAATTAAAAAAAAAGACCCAGTACTCTATTAGAAATCAACTGATATTAAATTTATTACCAATTACAAAGATACAAAAAAGGTGTCTTAGAATATGGTAATCATTCTTAAAGGAAAGACTAATGGTATAATTTCATATTTGATACACAGGGAAGTTTTTGAAATTTCAAGTATTTGTAATACATAAATGAATGTAAGAAACAGGAAGACAAATTAGGTACATCTAAAACTCTCTAATGACCATTTTTTTATAGGGAAATCTCTGGGTAAAGAATATATACATGTGTATGTATACATACATGTGTATATACACATACACAATAGTTTTCTCATGAAATTCTTGGAGAAGGGCAGTTTTTGTTTCCCTGTAACTGTCACTATAGAGCACAGTGGCCACCTTGTTTCCACTTATTTTTGGTAACCATTACTATGATATATACAAGTTAATAACATTAATGATGTGTCAGATATGGTGAAATGCAAAATAAATAAATAAATAAGAGTGAAGAGTTCACAAGAGATCACATCTACCCTAACAGGATGGAGGTTGAAACAACACAGTTACAGCTAACTTTATAATCTATTTTATTGGCACGAACATAAAAGCAAACAAATACAATTGTCAGTGCACACAGGTAAGAACCTAGACATTCAGAAGTCAAGAAATTTAATGTTAAGATTCCAAAAATTAACGGTATATCCTTTAGTAGAAATCTTCCAGGCTTGTTTTTATGATCCATGGCTGTCTACCATAGTAGGACTTGTTAGAGATTTTTCCAAAAATGTGCAAATTTACATAATAAAACTACCTGACCACAATTATCTTTTGTAACTGAATGCTTTCAAGTTCTTTTTAATTCCACTGAAATTGCACTATGAAACTGAAACTGGAACTACAGTTGGTTATTGGCAAGAAGCAGCAAGGAAGAACAGTATTTCCATTTGCAGTTGACTCAGTTTTCAGCACCAAGCTTGGACACCTTCGATACATCAGTTTGCCAATAAAATCTTATGTGATCCCGTAACCCTGCACATTTCTGATTATCGTTGTTACAAAAATATGGCTAGGCCTCTGCTTAATTTCATCTCACTATGTCCATGTCTTTGAGTAAAATAAAATCACTATGTAAAACAAATTTGGTTGAGTAGTTTGGGGACTCTTTAAAATAATGACATACTTTAATTACCATAATTGTCATCATTTCTCATTGTGTGGCTTTCTCCTCTTTAAAATAAGCCAAAGGCTTCTTAGTGTCTTTATATTGTAAGTAGAATAATTTATCTAGAGATCACGTATCTAGCAAACTCAAGTCTGTAACACAGTAAGAACCTTAAAAAAAAAAAATAGGTATATAAAAATATTCCGAAAGCCTGTATTTCAAAGCATACACACTTAATACTCAGGAAAAGCTTTTAATAAAAAGATATTTACTCTTAAAAAGTCTTACAAGTATCTGTAACAGTTTAGAACCTTAACAAAAACTAAAAACGTTTCCTAGACTTGATAGTTTTCAAAAAGTGCATATTAATTCATAGCAAAGCACCCTGGACTCTCCATAAGGTATGTTATCTTTGATTTTAGACACAATTCCCATGAACTTGGTTGTTCTGATTCTTAGCCTGCAGTAAATTACAAAGGAATTGGCTGAGGCTGGCACATTACCAACTGACCTGACAGTAAGATCAGGTCAGTGGGTCACCTTTTCAAGTGCCAGAAAAGGTATAAGTGGTAGACATAAGGTTTGAAAAATAGCAAACTGGGGTCATTTAGTGAAGAGGTAAACACTCCTCAATAGCTCTTAGAGACATTAATATATTTGAGTCCAACAGGTGGAATTCATAATTGCTTTAAAGCAATATACTGCTTTAAAAGTAGATATATTTTAGAAATATTTAAAATAGTTAAAATGAAATGTTTCATTGCTTAAAAAGATAAGCTTTGATTATCTGAATAGTCCATTTGTGTGGACATCTCACTTCTTTCTCAATAATGTAGGATAAAGTGAGTCATATCAGAATGACACAAAAGCACGGAACTGATCAATTTACGTATAATATGGTTTATCAGAATAAATGTAGGGCATTTAAAAATCACTATCGATTCCTTCATTTTCTAGATTATATTCTTCTAAAGTTCCCTTTTCTCTTGTACTTGAATATACTATAAAATCACGAACTTTTCCTTTCAGATCATTCAATTCATTTTGCATTTTTAATATGCTATTATCATACTGAATTCCTTCAAGCGTTTTCTGCATCTCCATTATTTCAGATACTGCTTTCAGCATATCGTCTTCCATATTAAACATCTGAATAGTTAAGTCTTCCATTTTCTTTTCTGTCCCTATCAGATCCTGAGAGACTCTGAGAACAGAGTGAATAGCACTTTCAATGGTTGGCAAATGTGTCTTGCATTCTTCCACCTTGGGTTCGTAGTTGGAAAGTTTATTAGTTAGGTCTTCATCTCTGGCAAAGAGAGCATGCTGTTCCTCTTCTAACTTTTCAACTGCTTTTGTATCAGAGCCCAGCTGCTGCTCCACTCGCAGAAGGTCTTCTTCTTCCTGTCTTTTCACTGTTCTAATATTTCTTAGCGTGCTATCTTCCAAATCTTTTAGTCTTTCAGTGAGCAATTTTATTCCTTGTTCAGCTGAGTTAATTTGGACAGTAACTTGAGAATGTACATGTTTCGATTCTGATTTGAAAATGTCTGTATTAACATTCATTTCTTCTAGGCTTCTCGTCCAGAAATTTGTAACATTCTGGAATTTTTCATGAAGGCTTTGCATCTTTTGAGTGAGCATCTCTTCACTATTTTGAATGTCATGCATGATACTTTGGAGGCTGGATACGTCCTGCTCAAACTGGGTCACCAAAGACATGGATGATGTAGCTTCCTGCAGGATACTTTCAGTAGACTCAAGCTGCATTTATAACACAAAACAATTCCCAAGGCCACTTAATAACTTTTACATGAGGGAAACACACTAATCATCATGTGCCAAGGTCAAATTCTGAAGATGTCTAAAACATCCAAGTATATGTCAGAACCATACTGACAAAAACATTTATTACTTTAACAGCTATTTTAAAATATTTTAAACAAATTTAATACATTAGCACTATGGTAGAAAAATATACACTTGAATTTATAATTCTAAATATTTGGCACATTTTCATGGAGGGATATTCAAGTGAAAAATTATGTTAAAGGAGCCTGAAGTATATCACATTTCCTTCTTTTTTCTTTTTAACTCCAATGGAAAGCAACTTCATTGTGATTTTTATGGTTAACTGGCTTTTTTTAGAAACTGTAACAGACATAAAATTTAGCTTTCCTGAATTCGATGATTCTGGAAGAGTTTCTGTCTGAAAAATATTTGTTGACTAACCTCTGTGGAGAAGGTACCAGATCAGATCCTACAGATAATCACAAAGGCGAAAATGAGTAAAAGCCCAGTTTAGTGAGACAACTCATGTCAAATATTAGTGTTCTAAGTTATCTGTAAATTATGGTAAGCTGTTGGCATGTCCTAATATGTGTCCAGCACATAGAAGGGCCAGGTTGTGGACCTCCCTCAGTTTACACTCACACATAGCTAACAGTCCTTAGAGACTACTGGAAGGCCTAGAAATGAACATTAGTTTACCAAAGGTTTGTCGCATTGTGTTGAAGATATAATGCTGTACAAGACACAGATCTGCCCTTATGTAGCTTAGTTTAATTGGGGAGAAGGCCAAGTCTATGAGCGTTATGAAGGGAAGAACTATGGAAGCACTTACATGGGTACCCAAAACAGACTTTAATGATCAAGGAAACTATTCTAGATGTATTATCTAATATCTGCTTCTAGTTAGTTCCTCTCTAAATCATCCTACACACTTCAGCCAGGTTAAGCTTTTAAAAACTGCTATGCACATCATGGTACAACATAAAAAACCCTACAATGTTTCCTAATATTTCTAGGATAAAGTCCAAAAGTCCACAACATTACTATATTCTTTTCTTCCCTCCTCTTTGCTTAGCTAAATTCTGTCCTACGTTTAAGGCTGAGATCAGATCTCGGCTCCTTAGTTTAGCATTCTTTCATCACTCTAGCCCTGACAGCCTCAACTCCTGAGCATATACTATATCATGTATTTGCCACCTATTTGGCACTTACATATAATCCAAGATTTTTTGAGTGTTCACTCTGTGCCAGACCTTGTGCTAGACACTGGATATAAAAATATAAATTATAGTCCCTGGCCTCACAATTTGATAGGGGAAGATAGTGTTTTGGATCTTTTACATCATATATTCTAGAGTCCCCAAAACACTTGAGTGTCCTCTGTTTCATTATTAGGTAGTAGGGATGTAGAGATAAAAGATAGTGTCTGCTCTAAAGCTGTAGTCCCCAAACTTTTTTGGCACCAGGGACCAGTGCTCCTATGAGAATCTAATGCCTGATGATCTGAGGTGGAGCTGAGGCAGTGATGCTAGCGCTGGGGAGCGGCTGCAAATACAGATGAAACTTTGCTCGCTTGCTTGTCACTCACTTCCTGCTGTGCAGCCCGGTTTCTAACAGGCCATGGACTGGTACCGGTCTGCAGCCCGGGGGTTTGGGGACCCCTGCTCTAAAGAGTAGTAAAGGAGACAAATTAACAACAAGAAAAAATCACAACAGATTATGATTTGTGTCATGACAGAATTAGCATGGGAGAATGGATGCTTACAGGAGATCAGAAGTCTGGAGGTCAATGAGGAAAGGCTTAGAAGTGACTTTGAAATTTGACTCTTTAACAGATTGATGAGTTAGCCAGGGGAAGATAGATAGTAGAGCGTCTAAATTACTTAAGGAAAGAGATCATGTCCTATGCATTTTTGCAGTTGCTAAACCTCAGGGTATAAAGGACAGGTTTGATGTTTAGGAAGAATGGCTATAAATCTTCTGGACCCCAATCAAGACCTACAGCAGTTCCAGGTGATAGATTGCTGGGAACAATGTGCAACAGTACTGAATAAGACCACTCTGAAACCTCATTGAAAAATTATTTTTAACGTACACATGTAGCCATAATCCAAGTTCCTCTAAAAACCAATGCTGAGAAATACTTAAACATTGGTAACACTGTTAGGGTTAGTTGCCTTATAAGCAGCATTTTGAAGAAGCAAACTTATCTTCACCTGAGGTAATCTCCCGTGTGGGCTGTTTATCGCAGCATCACTATAATCTGCAGGCAGTATAACCCCGTGGACCCCAAAGGTTGAAAAGATCAACTTTTCTGGATAATAAAGTCTCAAAATATAACCTGCAAATATATAGTGACTAGTATAACCATAATAGCTAGCATTTAATGGGCTACCAACATATTCCAATAGTTTTTCATTTTAAAAAGAGCTAATACTTAAATTTATTACTGCTTACAGGTTTTCAAAGTTTTTGCTTATATATTATATCTCATCTGATCTTTATAAAAATCTTGTTATTCTCATTTAATAAATGATGAAATATAGGCCAAGAGGTTAAAGTGATTCTTCCACGATCACAGTTGTGACAAGAGGCCACGTCTAGTTGTTTTCCCCACCTACTGCATTATGCTGGCATTAGGGTAAACTTTCTGAAAAGGCAGCTATTGTCAAACCACTCCCAGGGCAGACTGGGAGAGCAAGAGCTATGCAAAGACTGAATATTTTTTTGGATCCTATGAAAACATTTTAAAAATCCGCTTCAAAAAGCATTTTAATTGCTACCAAAGTTTTCATTTAAAAAGGATATCTTCTTCAAAATTTGTTTTCAGTGGCTTTTAAGTACCTGAAGTTTCTATTTCCTGGAGTTTTGTCCATCATTATGTCCCCCCCATCATTCTGGGCCCCCCAACAACTACAACCAGATTCCAGCTAGAACCCTAGGTCAAAATACCAACTCTTGCAGCAACTTCCTAGAGGCCCCTAGGCTCACATTGATTCCCCTAGCATGTTGGAGGGGATGCATAACTTTCATCCATAGCTTTTCTCTTCTGGGGGAGATATATGCTCATCTTGTGCCGGAGGCTGCAGGAACTTAGATCCTCTATTTCATTTTTGTTTATTTTTATAACATCCTTGCTCACCCTGGGCCCAAGCACAAGCCTTGTCTACCTTATGGCACGAGTAAAGTCTTAATGAGTGAATTAATGGACAAATGAGGCATATTTCCCAGTGATAGCTTGGTTCCTAGTGGCCAGGCAAGGCGCACATGATGCGTTATTGATTACAGACCCTGTCCTGAGAAGCGTGGTAGACATACATTTTTTATCTAACTTACTTTTCTAATAATTACAGAAATAATGCATCTGTATTTACAGCTGGAAAAAGCACAAAACACATGAATTTTAATTTTCATTTGGTTACAGTATTTTTAGTCATTCTTATTTGGATATATGCATATGTATATATGCTTACCAAGTGGAAAATAAAGAAAAAACACTGATGGATCTTTGCCCAACAAGTGCTTTTCCTATTCTAATTTTATATCTAAATATCAATCATATTTTCAGTGCTCTAGACACTCGATATTTAAATAGAAAACTGAGGTCATATTGATATGAGCATATTGGTCTTCTTAAATAACATTTGTTATATATATGTAAAAGAATCCTTGCCCTTTCAAAATGTAAGTTTAAATTGGATTGAAGAGAAAATGTAAAGAGGTAGGAAAACCAGTGAAAGTTAAAATAGCAATGGTCAAAAGGCAGGAAAAAAGAATTTTATGAACTGGGAAGAGTGATAGTGGTGAAGAAAAATGGGAAAATCTCCCCAGATAAGCCAATTTATAATTACCTTTTCTGAAATTAAACTGATTTTACTTTGAAGCCCTTGGAATTCCTTGGTTTCTATTTTCAGTAACTGGTATTGGCTTTCCACCTTTGCAAACCTTTCCGACTGCTGAAATACAAACCTGGAAAAGAAAAGAAAAATCACTACCTCCTAATTCAAATCTATTTAAGTCTTAATTTTAAAGGAGTATTTTATACCCACTTCTGGTAAGGACATTCTGGTATAGGTAGTGGCAGCTTTTATTAGTTTATTTCAACAAACATTTAGAGAGCCTGTTATGTGGTAGGTAGTGGTTTAACTCATGCAAAGATGAGTGAAATATTGCCTCTGTACAAGTTCAGAACTCAGTGAGTCAGATGGTGTGATACTTGTAATAGATGTATGCACAAGAAATATTTTGGAGGAAGAACTAACGAATTCGAAAAATTATGTGATCTCTACTATTTTCCTCAAGGCCGTATTAGGTCAATATCTAGAAAATAAGTGTTTTTACACTGAAATGTAGAAGCAAGAGTTCTCTATACAGAGACTCAGGGACACAGACAGTGGATTAGTGGTTACTTGAGGGAAGCGGGGAGGTGGGGGAGAGAGGGATAAAAAGGGTCAAATATTTTGCGACGGAAGGAAATCTAACTTTGGGTGGTGGACACACAATGCAAAATATATATATATATAATATACATATGTATATATGACAGACTGTTGAATTGTACACTTCAAACATTTGATTTTTTAAATCAGTCACTCCAATAATTTTTAATAAAGTGTTTTTTAAATTTAAATGCAGAAAACAAAACAAAATGATGGAATGGAAGGAATAGAAGTTGCAAAATAACCGGTCAAACTGTTGAAAACAGAAGTCATTGTCAATGTGACAATAGAACGTATATGCAGTGCAAGGTGTATAATACGTATAACTGGTTATACTAAAAAATAAAAGTCAGATAGATGCCCTTCTATAATTGGAGTGTACTTTTCATCTGGTAAATAGTAAAAAATAAAAGCATAAAAAACTTATTCTAATCTTAAGAACAATAAATGAACTTTTGTGTGTATAGAACTTTAAATGAGCAAGCAAAAAGAAATGCTTTGCATCTGATATCATTTTGGTTAATCTGATTTGACTCAATTCTTCATGCTCTGAAAAGGCAACAGTTGAGATTCTTTGTGTATTTATTGAGTCAGGAAAAAGCAGTGGAGCAGAACAATATGAAGCCAGTGTCTAAATCAGAGTACACAGACCAGTGGTTCAAAAGTGTCACTGCATATTGGAGTCACCCTGCAGCTTTAAAGAAGTCTGATGCTTGGGTCCCACCCACAGAAATTCTGAGTGACTTGGTTTGAGATGTGACTTGGATATTGAAATATTTAAAAGCTCCCCAGGTTATCTGAGTGCTCAGCAAAGTGAGAAACACTAATTGACAGTTTTGTGAAACTGACTTCCATTGAAAGACATTTAAAGATCCCAAAACTCAATGGAGGAGTGAAAGACTTCTCAGCTTTGTGCATCATTGCAAAGGGTAATGTTTCAAACTCATAAATGTCAATGTCATCCTTAGGCTAACTGTTGCTATAAAACTGTTCAAAGCTAAAATGGATTTTTTGTTTTTTAAAAAAATGTTTATAATGTTGGATGAAATTTCTTTTAATGATGCCTCATATCTATTCTGTAACACTGAGTCCAAGTTATGTACTTAGTACAGATTGATTTTTCTTCTGTGTGCTAATATGAACTTTTAAACAAAACTTCTGGTTATTAGAAAATGCTATTATCCTAATTTTCAAAGATGGATGTGTAGACTTAATTCTCTTTTGATTTGCTGTTTCATTCTTGGCTTTTAAGAGGTTCTTTTCCAGTATAGGCTTATCTGAGACTAGCAGACAGAGACCAAGGATAGAGACCAATCTAAAGAAATGTCTAATTTCAGGGACTAGTTTTATCATCCATTACTCCAGTGTTACATGGATATATTCTATAGATCATTGAGTTAATTCAGAATAAAATAATTATTATAAAGACTTTTTGTGAAGTTGATCCACTACAATAATACATCATAGGTATTTCCATTTTATTAGATATTTTTAATGTTGTCTACCTCTTTTTGGATTAATATCAAAGGGAGACAACATATACTGGTTGAGTGTGGAGCTAGGCAACTTTGGCTGTGCCTTTTACTAGCTGTATGAACATTGTAGACACGTTTTATTTAACATATCTTTGCCAGTTTCTTCAACTGTAAAGTGGGGATACTACTACTTAGTACATAGGGTTGTTGTAGAGATTAAATAGGTTATTTATAAAGCTCCTAGATAGTGCCTATAGCAAGAACACATCAACTATGCTCTTTTGAACTGTTTTGTGCCACTACATTTCTATCCCCCTGACAAGCCTATAGCAGTTAAAGGATCAGAGCTCCCTTCGAGTTGTACTTGATAGAAGACATAGGCCTGGGCCCCTTCAAAACCAGGGTTAGGTTTATAGCAAATGAAGGATGGAATGGATGGATGAAAAGCAATCTCTTATCCTGTTTTGGGGTAAAGGCCTTAAATGTCTGCACATAGGAGAAAGGGTTCCAGGTTAATTTGCTACCTTAGTTGGATTTGTAAAAGAAATCTGACTCCCTCATAATCCACGGCAGTCTTCAGAGACCTCATACAGATTCAGGGCCCTGTAGTAGTAAAGTGTGTACTTCCTCAGTGTTGCCTCTGCATAGCTCCTTTAGGAATCTTCTATAGTGGCGGACAGCTGATTGAGGACTTATATAGGAGTTTCTATGGCTGTTTCAACTTAATGAGAAAGAGGCAAATAACCAAAGGAAGCTGTTACTATGGACCTTCAGCAAAAAAGGGAGTTCCATGGCCACTACTGGGGTCAGTATCCAGTTAGCTTTGTTTCATACTATAGCTTCATTTTCAGCATAATACTGAATGTTCAGGAAAATACCAACCGTATCCCATTTTCAAAAAGCAGAACATCTGAAGGATAACCCTGTCTTTTACATAAAACTCTACAAACAACAATAAAAAGCTGTAAAACAAGGTTAGCCAAGATTCTGCTGTATAAATGATTTATAGAGAAAAGAGTTAGTTGATTGTTTAAAGAGTTTTTGATTTCTTTTACATACTTATCACAAATGCAATGAAAAACTTTTATAAAGGCAATTAAAAAATCTGTTGAAATTTCCAGAAGAAATTTAAAATTTGTACAATGGAAGTTCTAGTTGATATTAAATAAGATTGAGAAGTATTATTAGTGTTTTATTATTATTAATAGTAACATCACAACTTTCTAAAAAATTTCCTTAAGAGTTTATAAATGAGGTATGCAAACTGAGGTATGGGCAACTGTTATCTCCAATGTATGATCATTAGGATGACATAGGATGGCATATCAGGACTTTATCTGTTATACATTATTTCTGTTCACTTGCTAAACAAGAATCCAAAGTCTAAAGGCCTGAAGACACTGAAACAGTGATGCCTTGAAATCCTTCTTGGGCAGTGGAAGGGTTCAAATCCCCACCCCACCCCCATTTAATCTAATTTTGAGATGATAGGTAAGTTGTGTTTAGAAGTACACAGATAGGCACTTATATTCAATGTTGTATTTTAACAACCAGGACATTGTCAGTACAGTAAGAGATCAATAAAGATTTGATGGATGACCTTTAGATGCTGGAGTATGTGTTCTCGAGGTAAAAATCTTGATGGCTTTATTATAATTCTAGTGTGCTTTTAAGTATTTTGAGATGCCAAATGTTTATTTAGAAAATGCTTGCAAATGTCTTACCAGAATAATTTTTTATTCTCAAATTCACCATGAATAAATTTTGCTATAAACAGTGACTGAAGTATTTATACTTCAACTCTTGGGGCAAAAGATTTCAGAAGAGCAATTAACAGGAAATTATTTTACTACTACTAATAAAATCTGCCTAGTTTTAGAAATAATCTTTGACTATTATTTTATTATTTTTTAAAGACAGTTCAAATAAAACCTTCCTACCGAATGTAACTTTTTTGTGTCTTTACTGTAAGTTCCTGAGCTGAAGCATCTGCTTTTCATCAGTTTTTTTCCTTTATAGATTTGTGGACAAAAAAGGGGTTCTATGGAAAGTAACCTTGCAGAGCGACTTGATCATAAATTCGTAAATGGATAGGTCAAGATGGGAAAGTCACACACCAAGCACATAATTTTTTTAGTAAAAGGTTTCTTTGCTTTAAGCAAGCTCTGTCCATTGTTTTTGTGCATCTAGGTTAACACACCTTGAAATAAACCATAACAATCTTCAAAAGAGCACATAATCGCATTAACTATCCTATAATCAAATCCCCACCTTGTTTTCTCCCACCTGCATGAAATCTTCCTTATCTTCCCTCTTTAATTTCAAAGGCATAAACGTAACTGCAATTGCCATCAGTTTTGGCTCAAATAAACTCTTAATAAAAATCCTCTACAGGTTTGGATGTTTCTTATGTTGACAGATTCCTATCAGTGTTTTTCCCCAAGACAGTAACTAAATTACTGAAAAGCTGAACATTTTGTGATAGAACTCATTTCACATGAATATGAATCTTTGGTAATTAATAAATCAAGTAACTAAAATCAGTTGTATTAGGTTCCAAGGAGAAACAACATATATCTTTGAGCATAATAAATTCTATTACTGAATAACTTCCCCAATACAAAAAGGATTTAAAAATTTACCTAAAGGTAATGCATTTTAAGACATAAGAGGATTTTAAAAAGGTAAGTTCAGTATATTTATTAAGATCAAAATATTTCATTAAAAATACCAGTAAATTATTTTTTAAGAGAACATTTAATAATCAACATTTCACATTATTGTAAATCTTTTATTAACTTCAACTCAAGATGACCTACCTCTAAAGTATAATTCGAAATTTACTAGCATCAAAAATGTTCTAGATTAGAGGACATCCAGGGTCCCTTCCAGAATTCTATTACTTTAGAGGATAGCTGTCCCCTAAGTATTTTAAAAATCAGTGAGTGAAAAATGGGGGTAAAGTTACTAATTTAAATCGTTGCCCTTGTTATCAAAATGAAATAGGTTCGTCCTAAAGAAAATAATTGGGGAAAATAAAATTAATAAGCTTGTTTTATAGTCATTTCTAATATTTTTTTCCTATGACACCAATATACTGCTATTTGCTTGGCTTAAAAATTGTTTAGTTTTAGGTGAACAGCGTGCTATACTTTCGTAGCTTTCCAGTACTAAAATTCAATCGGTAACTTAGGAAACAGCTTTAAATAACGCATGCGCATCGATCAAACTATGAGCACTCCAAACTGATATAATCACTAACGTCTGTTGCTTTGAGATCAAAATGAATTCTTTCAAGGTTGCAAATGTTGCCATTAGGCATTCATGGGGTGAAGCAAATTTGTCCAGGACAAATGAACAATGGACTGTTAAGTAATGGGTTATAAAAACCACAAAGCTTCCGACGTGTAGTAGGCGCTTAATAAAGTTTGGCCAAATCTCTTAAGAAATGGCTGACTCGTTCCCAAACCTTAACCTCAACTCCAGTTGAGCGATCCCGGCCGTTACTAGTACAAAGGAAAAATGAGTTAAAAGAAACGAAAGAAAATAAGAAATTGGGCTGTCCCTTCTTGAGGGTTGAGGCACAGGTACAGAAGCTGCAAGTCTGAGGGTTGAAGGTTAGCGCATGCCGGGACGTGCGGGGTCGCGGCGGGACCCCGAGAAGAGCGGGGGTCCACGGCAGGTCCGGGCGGGAACCCGAAAAGAGCAGGGGTCCACGGAAGGCTGGGGTCGGGGCGGGACCCCGAGATGAGCGGGGGACCACGGAAGGCAGGGGTCGGGGCCCAGGCGGCCTCGCGCCCACTTACCAGGCCAGCCCCAGGCACGTCCCCAGCGACAGCAGGCTCACGCCAGTCCGGGGATCCACCCAGCCCCCGCTTCCACCGCCCCGGGCCTCGGGGCTCTTCACGCCCTCGCTCCTCTTCCCGGGATCCGCAGGGGGTCCCTTGGGCCCCGACTTCTTCCGACTCTTCAGCTCAGACATGTCTGGAGGTCCTGAAGACGACACGACCTGGGGGCCTCTACAACCGGGGGGAGCGGGACGTGGCCGCCTCGGCGGTGACCGCGCCCCCACCCAGATTTAGCACCGCCCAGAAACCAGCCCCCTCCTTCTGCCCGCCATCCTTGCTGCTTCACGGGGCCCTCCCTCTCCAAGTTCCTCCAGCTGAGATACATGGGAACCCTATCTTCTCCCTCCTCTCGGTTAACAGGGCAAACCCAAGGATATCCGAGCTCCCGCACGCTTGCCAGCCGCTGGGAGACGAGGGGGCGGGGCGGGGCGGGGGGGGCAGCGT